CCTCGGAACCCATGTGGGGACCTCCAAGTAGGCGTCCCGCGCCCGAGGCGCACGGTCCATCGATGTAGGCCCGCGGCGGGGGGGGGCACGGTGTCTGTCCTTCCCGCGAGGATCCCGGGCGGGGTAGATCTTGGCGCTGGGGTCTGCGCGGACCCTTCCTCTGGCAGGGCAAGAATCGGGCGGGTGGTAATCGCAAGGGGGTGTTGAAGGAAAGGGCTCTGAAGGGGCCCTCAAGGGTTCCCTTTGGGGCCCTACTGGCTTTACAAGGGGCCCTAGAGGGGCACTTTACTTGGGGCCCCTTTCTTCACCCCCCATGTAGGTCACCCCCCATTACTACCCGCCCGATCCCCTGGCAGGGAAAGAAAACGCGCAGCCACACGAGACATGCTCGCGTCGTGGCAAAAATCACGACGAGAGGAGGTTTCGGCCGTGTTCGGCCCGTGGGGGCCTTCGCCAGGCCTCGGAGACCGTCAAGAAGCGACTTGGGATGAGAAGCCGGGCCCAGGGGAAAGGGTCGTGATTTCTGGAAACCCAGTGTTGAAAATAATCGGAGCCAACAGTATGTCCACTATAGTTATACATATAACGGCGCACCGGGTCCGGGGGCCCGGGGCCGGGACCCCGACCACAAATGTGCGCCCCGGGGGGCCCGGAGGCTCGTCGGGGCTTGCCGGAGGCCTCCCCAGTCAGACAAGACGGCCCAAGAAGCGCCCAAGACGGCCCAAGAAACTTCCAAGAGGCCTCCAAGAGGGCTCCGAGATGCTGAAGATGGCCTCCAGACGTCCAAGGACGCCCCCAAGAGGCCCCAAGAAGCCTCCAACATGCGTCCCAAGAGGGCCCCTAGACGCAAAAATTGGCCCATTCCCTTCGTAAAACGTACATTTTCAACAAAGTTGTCTTTTGGGCTTTCCGACGTTACAGGACGGCCCAAGAGGCGCCCAAGACCGCCCCAAGACGGCCCAAGAAGCTTCCAAGAGGGCCCCAGGACAGCCCAAGAGGGCCCCAAGACGGCCCAAGAGGCGCCCAAGATGGCCCAAGAGGGCCCCAAGACGGGCCCAAGAGGGGGCCCAGAGGGGGACCACGAACCGCAAGCTCGAGCCTTCCGCCCCAAGAGGCCGCCAGGAGGCCCCCAGGAGGCCCCTCAAGAGGCCCCAGGAGACCCCAGACGTCCAAGGACGCCCCCAAGAGGCTCCAAGAAGCCTCCAACATGCGTCCCAAGAGGGCCCCTAGACGCAAGAATTGGCCCATTCCCTTCGTAAAACGTACATTTTTAACAAAGTCGCCTTTTGGGCTTTCCGACGTTACAGGACGGCCCAAGAGGCGCCCAAGACCGCCCCAAGACGGCCCAAGAAGTTTCCCAGAGGGCCCCAGGACAGCCCAAGAGGGCCCCAAGACGGCCCAAGAGGCGCCCAAGATGGCCCAAGAGGGCCCCAAGACGGGCCCAAGAGGGGGCCCAGAGGGGGACCACGAACCGCAAGCTCGAGCCTTCCGCCCCAAGAGGCCGCCAGGAGGCCCCCAGGAGGCCCCTCAAGAGGCCCCAGGAGACCCCAGACGTCCAAGGACGCCCCCAAGAGGCCCCAAGAAGCCTCCAACATGCGTCCCAAGAGGGCCCCTAGACGCAAGAATTGGCCCATTCCCTTCGTAAAACGTACATTTTCAACAAAGTTGTCTTTTGGGTTTTCCGACGTTACAGGACGGCCCAAGAGGCGCCCAAGACCGCCCCAAGACGGCCCAAGAAGCTTCCAAGAGGGCCCCAGGACAGCCCAAGAGGGCCCCAAGACGGCCCAAGAGGCGCCCAAGATGGCCCAAGAGGGCCCCAAGACGGGCCCAAGAGGGGGCCCAGAGGGGGACCACGAACCGCAAGCTCGAGCCTTCCGCCCCAAGAGGCCGCCAGGAGGCCATCAGGAGGCCCCTCAAGAGGCCCCAGGAGACCCCCAAGAGGCCCAAAGGAGGCCCCGAGAAGCCCCAAATCGGCCCCCAAAATCCTTCGAACCTGCTTCCAGGAAGCCCCCGACAGGTTCAGAGGCTCCCGAGAAGCTACGTCAAACTCCCAGCGAGCGACGGGACGAGGCCCCCCACAAAATCACAAGAGGCTCCACAGGCGGCCCAAGAGAGCCCCAAGATGGGCCCGAGAGGGATTCCACGCAAGTTGTTATTGCATGGCTCGGGAAAGGACGAGGATGAGGAGGAAGACGAGGAGGAGGAGGAGGAGGAGGAGGAGGAGGAGGAGGAGGATTCCTGGGCCTGTGACTCGACAGAACCTAAGCGCGCGCGAAGCGCGCGTGGTTCTAGTGTGGTATGTTTGTCCACCACTTTCGGCAAATGGCGACCCAAGCGCAGTCTGTCTCTCTCTCTCTCTAGTTGTTTTTCCTCCTCTCTCTCAATACACATATATATACATATATATATATATATATGTACACATCGATTCATTTATTGATAACAAGCGTTTTTTCCTAGACGTGTCGCCTGAGGAACCGGCCAGGCAGTTATACACTACACTTTGTCCCCTTGCGTTTCTGCGAAGACCCATGGGATAGGGCCCAGATACTTTAGGGCATACTTGCGTTGTTCCCCACAAAGCAATACAGTGGGTGTCTGGGTTTGGCTTGGGGCGTGCTGGGCCAAGGCTGGCGCAGGCGAGGAATTGGCGTCCTCCCCGCGAGGACCCGCACGGTATCGGGAAGCCGGTCGACGACGACGTCGTCACGTGGTTCCACAAGAGGAACACCGACACTCTTCAGGGCGCCCTGGCGTTCGTGCCCTGGGTCCTCCAGCAGTCGCACTCGGAGGGCAAGCTCCAAGAGGGGCAGGTGGTGATCCACAGGGGCAGCGGCGCGGTGGTCTTCTCCGACGCCAGCGGTTTCACGGCCCTCACGGAGCTCAGAGGAGGAAGAGGTACACCTTAGGCGATGCTTAAGAAAACCTAAGTTTTCGTCCAGAGTCTCGATTATTCTTAACTTTTCAATATAAATCCCAAGATTTTGATAGAAGTTCTGGGTTTTATTCCATTTCTGAGACTATGAATTTCTTAACCCATGATTTCTTAAGCATTTCGCAGGGTGTACCAATGCTCCTTTCCATCGTTTTCGCCTTCTTGGGCCTCCGGGGAGGCCCTCGTTGCCACGGCTGCATACGACTTGAGACTCTCGTCAGAACGCACCCCGGGAGAGATCCAGGGCCTAGCGGGTTCGGTAGCTCTTGGTTCCCGCAGGAGCGGTTGGCCAAGAAGTCCAACGGGGCAGAGCTGCTCTCGCAGTGCCTGACCGCCTTCTTCACGCCGCTGATCAACCTGATCAACTCGTACAGAGGGGACGTCATCAAGTTCAGCGGGGCCGCGCACTTAGTTGGTCCCGAAAAACGGAATGGCCGTTTTCTTGCCGTTGTCAAACACATTTTTCTGGAACACGACACCGGTAAACATGCAAACAGGCGCCCAGAAACGAGAACCCATTCGCCTGGATGGGAACTGGAACCATAACCAAAACACACAACGGTGACAGGGCGACGGAACCAGGTACGAAAACGGAGCCAACATGAGTTGTAGAACGGGCCAGGTAAAAAAGCGGCTCCGTCGTTTCCAGGGCCCACTAAGGTTCAGTCGGGCGTGTCCATCTAGAGGAGGAGTATTCAAAAATACCCCAAACATAGTCATGGGACGATTTGTTTCTACCATGCTTTGACAACTTGGGGGTATTTGTGGGGTATGTGTATGTGTGATTTTCCAATCAGAATCCGCCTGCAGGGGGACACGCCCGACCTGACACTGAGGACGCGCTGATGATCTACTTCCCCGCAGTGGATGTATGTGTATGTGTGATTTTTCAATCAGAATCCGCCTGTAGGGGGACACGCCCGACCCAACACTGAGGACGCGCTGATGATCTACTTCCCCGCAGTGGATGTATGTGTATGTGTGATTTGTCAATCAAACTCCGCCTGTAGGGGGACACGCCCGACCCAACACTTAGACTAAGGACGCGCTGATGATCTACTTCCCCGCAGTGGACGACACGGCCGTGCAGCGCTCCAGGCTGCAGGTGCCGCCCCACGGCTCCTTCGGCCTACCGGACCTCGGGCCCATGGCCACCGCGGTGCTGCGCGCCTCGGCGTGCTGCATCGAGATCCACAAGAGGTGCCGCAGCAGCATGCTCGAGGAAGCGCGAGCGCGGAGTGGGGCGCGTGGAGGAGGAGGAGGAGGAGGAGGAGGAGAGGAGGAGGAGGAGGAGGAGGAGGAGGAGGAGGAGGAGGAGGAGGAGGAGGAGGAGGAGGAGGAGGAGGAGGAGGGAGGAGGAGGAGGAGGAGGAGGAGGAGGAGGAGGAGAGGAGGGGGAGGGGAGGAGGAGGAGGAGGAGGGGGAGGAGGAGGAGGGGGAGGAGGAGGGGGAGGAGGAGGGGGAGGTGGAGGAGGAGGATTGGCGACGCGCCTCGCTTCCGTGCAGAATCGGCGCGCTCCGTCGTCACATGAGGCGGCGGTGGCCTTGCGTGCTCGCGTGCGCCTTCCCCGACCCGTGGATCTGAGGCAGCGCCCACGCTCCAGATCCACGGATCCCTAATCCGTGTCAGCGTTCGCCCGACAAGCAATGGCGTCAACATGAGTTTTCGGAGCTCTGCGCGGATTCATAGGATCTGCTCTGAGCCCCCCCCAGCGGCTCCTCCGGCGCCGCCCCCGGCGCGCTCAACGCGCCAGAGAGGAGGGCCCAGCGCCGATCCAAGAAATCTGCGCGGAGCTCCGAAAGTTCATGATCTTGCGACTGCTCCGAAAGTTTATGATCCTAGCCCTGCGGGTCCATTCGCCGCTGGGGTATCGGACACCCCCGCTGGGCTTAACTTTGCTGCAGACCTCCCTGGAAGCCTGAACCCCGGCCGACCTTTCAAAAATCTGACCTGCAGGGGTAAGGTCCCCAGGTGGTTGCCTTCAGAGAAGAAAGCACCACATTGACATGCACTTTTGGCGGAGCGCCACAAGTCTATGTTTATGTGGTTTTTTTCATCTAGGATGATTATGCTTCCTTCCCCGAGGTTGCACATGTTCGACACGGGGGTCGACGGCGTCTGCCTGTGCCTCCACATCGGCGTCGGGTGCGGCGAGGTCGCCATCCTGCAGGTGGGCGGGGAGGTGCCCCCGGAGACCCACGTGCCCAGGTCCGAGTACCTCATCGCGGGCCCTCCCCTGGAGCAGATCTCGGTGGCGGAGCCGCTGGCCAGGAACGGGGAGACCTGCGTTAGCCCGCAGGCTGGAGGAGGAGGAGGAGGAGGAGGAGGAGGAGGAGGAGGAGGAGGCAAGGCACGGCATAAGCACACTCTTTCAGAGTGCCGCACGGATGTCTTGGATCGGCGCTGGGCCCCGCTGGCGGCGCCTCCAGCGCCGCTCCTGGCGCGCTCCGCGCGCCAGGATGGGAGGGGGGGGGTTCAGCGCCGATCCGACAAAAACGCGCGGAGCTCCGAGATTGTATGTATATGTTGTTGTTTGTTCCTCCAGGCCTGGGAGCATGTCAGCGACTGCGTCGTGGAGGACACGAGTAGAGTGCTGGACGAGCCAGATTACCACCTCCTCCTTCGGATGGACGAGACCAAGTACACGTTCCCGACAGTGAAGTTCTCCGCCATGGAGAGCGACAGGCGGCAGGAGACGCAGTTCCGTCTCCCAGAGATGCCCATCATCCGCAGGTTCGTGCCATCGGCGGTCTTCAAGCAGATAGAGGGCGGCACCCTGACGTACGTGAACGAGATGAGGACCATATCCACCATCTTCGTGTCGGGCTCTGGCGTGGACGTCTCCTCCGACGAGGGGGCGCAGGTGGCGCAGGAGCTCATGGCCTCCGTGCAGCAGATCTGTTACGCGGGGGAGGGCACGCTGAACAAGTTCGTCATTGACGACAAGGGCATGCTGTTCCTCCTCGTGTACGGGCTGCCGCCCCTGGTTCACACCGACGACCCCACAAGAGCCGTGCTCGCCTGCATCGACCTGGTGAAGGCCTTCAAGAGGCTCAAGATCGCCGGGCGCTTCGGGGTGACCACCGGCAGGAGCGAAGGAAGGAGGAGGGAATGGGGAAGAGGGGAGGGCACCGGACTTCCCTGGCAATAGCAATGGTAGTGATGTCTAGGCGTGAGTCCGCCTCGCCGCTCCGCGTCTTGAGGCGCATTAGGTGCCGTGGTCTCCTGGGATGGGCCGCCACCCATCGGCTTTGGCCGCCTCGTGCACCCGCCGCAGCTGCCTCGCCCACTCCAATGCCGAATCGCGCGACTCAAGAGCGTGCAGGCGGGCAACTTTAAAGAGCAGGTCCAGCACGTGGGCCTCGACCCCAGACTGCAGTGCCGTTTTTAATACATGCTCCGCGTGCGGATCATGTATAAAAAATGCAGGGCTTCAGTACTAAAAACAACGATGAGTTCATGCATCAATTTATTCATATATTAATTATGTATTAAAGATCCTATATTGCGAAGGCCTTACAGCCGGTGCCGCCGACCCTGAAGGGGAACGACGACGGCGGCGGCGGCGGTAGCGACGACGACGATGCTGACGTGGGTTGAGTCCTCAAACGTGCTTCTTGGGGTTTCTTCCGAGCGCTCTCGGGGGCCTCTGGGGGGATGTTTGGGGGCCTCTTGGGAGCCTCTTGGGGCCTCTTTGGGCTTCCTGGGGGCCTCTTGGGGACTTCTCGGGGCTGAGGGCTCGAAATGTCCGTTCGGGTCCCCCGTCTGGGCACTCTCTTGGAAACGTCTTGGGGGCCTCTTGTGCCGTCTTGGAGGCGTCCTGGGCCGTCTTGGGGCACTCTTGGGCCGTTTGGGGACTCTCTTGGAGGCCTCTTGGGCCATCTCGGGGCGACCTTGGGGGCCTCTTAGGCCGTCTTGGCGCGTGGGGAAGCGGAAGAGGCGAGAACGCCACAATTCTTGAAAAACGTATGGGAAATCCATGATTTTTGCCTCTTGGGGCTTTTCTGGGAACGGTCCTGGAGGCCTCTTGGGGCGTCTCGCAGGCCTCTTGGGCCGTCTGGAGGCCGTCAAGGCGTCTTGGACAGATCATTCGGCGATTCGGGGCCCTCTTGGATCGTCTTGGGGGCTTCTTGGGGCACTCTTGGTCCGTCTTGGTGCTTTTTTCGGCTCCGGGATTCCCCGGGAGGGCGGCGTAAAAACCCGGGACCCCCCTGGGACCCACCCTGGGACCCCCCCATCCCCCCCTGGGCGGGGAAGGGATCAAAGGGAAGGGGTTTCTTTTCGACTCAATTACGACGTTGCTTAAATTCGCTTTGGACTGGCACGCTTCAGGAGGAGGCCCTGTGAGAGGGGTAGAAGCACGACGCTGTGAGGAAAGGGGAAGGAGAGACGACGACGAAAACGAAGAGGGAACAGACGGAGAAGCCTCTTCCACACGCCGACAGGGTCGGCGATTTTTTTTGAATCTTATGTATTAAAAACTGCCCTGTACTCGCCGTATCCGGGCCCACGCGACCGTGACGGGCCCCTGGCCCTCAGACGGCCCTCCACCAGGCCCAGTTGCCACGGGCCCCCGCGCTGCCGACGAGGACCCGGGCCGGGGCTCCCTCCGCTCCCCGTGCGTCCACTCGATGCTGCTGCTGTTTCGGCAACCTCGGAGCCCCGAGAGCCCTGCAGGGGAGGCGGTGGGCTCGTCAGTGGGCGCCCGAGGTTGAAGAGCGCTGGGCATTGCACCCCGTGCACCCCGACCCACAGCACCGTCCCGCCAGCCCTCTCCCGGGGGAGGCTCGCAGGCCTACAACAGAGGCCCCACGAGACTTGCAGAAGAACAGCGGCGGCTAACCCTGCTCCTGGCAACCTAGCTCACACGTCACCGTGGGAGTGCCCTTGAAAGATCCGCGGCCGAACGGTAACGATCCCTATATCGAACCTACCCCCAATCTCAAGGCTCGGGCTCGGGCCTTAACCAAGTTGTCGCAGGATCTTGTCGATGCCGATCTTGGTCATGGTGCATGTCGGCAGTCGCCGATTCGCGAGGCCGCTCCACGAAATGACGCTGACCAAGGTCGACGGCGACCAAGATCGACACGACGTTTCTGCGGTCAGTCCTGGACATGGTCCCCGCTTGCGTTCCCTCCATGCTGCTTCCGGGTGCCATGGGCTGCCGTGTGCCGGTCGGAAGGCTCGGCTCGATCCGTTGGGCTCGTGGGCACGCGCCGTGCGTGTCTGCGATGCGTCCCCGAGCATAGGCGCACCCGACGTCCCCGGAGGCCTCGAGAGGTCCCTGGGGCCTCCAGAGGCCCCTTGGAAGCGGCGAGGAAGAGGATGACGAGGGGAGGAGGAGGAGGAGGAGGAGGAGGAGGAGGAGGAGGAGGAGGAGGAGGAGGAGGAGGAGGAGGAGGAGGAGGAGAGAGCAGACTCAGCACGCAACAGGTGCACCCGAATGTCCGAGCGACTGCAAGAGAAAGAGAGAGAGAGAGGAAGAGGGTGAGCAGCAGGATAAAGCAAGCCGGAGGAGAGCAGAGGGAGGAGCAGGCTGGAGGAGGGGGAGAACGAGCTGCACGAAGACTCTCCGAAGTGTCCGGCGGCAGGGCGTACTGCGGCACCTGCGGCAGCGCCTCCCGGATGGAGTACACGGTCCTCGGCGACCGGGGCCCGCCTTTTTCCTCGTCGCCTCACTCCTCCCTCCTCCTCCTCCTCCTCCTCCTCCCCCTCCTCCTCTTCCTCCTCCTCCTCCTCCTCCTCCTCCTCCTCCTCCTCCTCCTCTCCACTGCACCTCCTTCTTTCTCGTCCCTCCTCCCTCCTTCTCCTCCCTCTTCCCTACCCCTCCTCCTCCCTCATCGCCTCCTCTCCCTCTTCCCTCCTCCTCCTTGCTCATCCCCTCCTCCCTCACCTTCCTCCAACGCATTGAAGGATCAAGACGGCTGATTGTTGCACGGTTCGGCTTCCTTCCTCTTCCCTCCTCCTTCTCTGCCCTAATTACCCTCGCAGGCGATTTTTCTCCCCAAACCCCGAGTTCCGCCCGAAAAGCTTGGCCGCTCAGAAAAGGAGGGGAAGCCAGGAATACATCCCAAGGGGGCTATTCGGATGCACCCCGATCGAAGATTCGAAGATGGACGCCCCCGCTCGTATATTCCAGGGTTGGGCCCGACATTTGTTGGTCCAGTCGAACAGCTCCCAAAGCCTGGGATACTGGGTCGACATATCCCTTAGTATAGAGAGATCTAGACGGCAAGTTGTGCCACGGTTCGGGTGTCTCTGGGCTAGTTCTCGTCCCCCTGTTTATTTAAAAAAGGCAATTTGGGCAACACATTGGCCCCAGGAAAGGGTCGAGAGTTTCGGGGACCATGTATTGCAGAAAAGCACGATGTTGGACGTCATAGGTTCTCCTCCTCCTCCTCGGTGATGCGGTGAACTTGTCCGCCCGCTTGATGTCGAATGCGCCAGCGGACGGCATCCTTGTGGACGAAGCCACGAAGGACCAGTGCACTAGGGAGGTCAATTTCACGCCCTTGGAGAGGATCAAGGTGAAGGGCAAGGCGGACGCCATCCAGGTCTTCCAGCCTTATCTGAAGGTCGGCAAAGCTCGCATCGGCATTGGGCACGACGGCAAGATCCACTTCCCCTGGTACGTGAGGCCCTACCCCTACTCATAAATCCAATCGTGCCCCTTTCGGCTCCCCCCCAGACGCCCCACAAACTGCTTGGACACCCCTATTTGGAGGCTGGGTGCACACTGGGCGGGCGGCCCGAGCGATAGCTGGATACTCGCCTGCCTTTCCAGCCCTGGGCCCTCGTGTGGCCGAGCAGTCTCCGCACGTGGCACTCCCTCCTCGTCCCCCGACATCTGGCAGCATGATTCAAGACGTTTCGCGTTTACCGCCCGCCCATTCCAGTGCTCGCCGGAAGAGACGCAGACGGCGCCAAGACTGGGCGACCATGTTCCGAAGATAATGGCTGACTCCTCCACATATGTGTTTTGTATTTTGTCCTGCGATCGATTTCTCCTCCATCCCATCGCAGATTTGGCGCAGGTGTTCCGTGTGGCGGGTCGATGTGGAATTCGTCAATTAGTTTTCGGCCCGTCATCAGCACCAAGGATGAGTGATATGTGCTCTGGCTTTCTGGAACCCGTATTCCCTCTCCACAGCAGGCCAGAACACGGCCCGCGACCAGCAAAAGACGGCCCGAAAACAGCCCAAAAGGCGCCCACGAGGGCCGAAGAGGGCCCCGAGAAGGGCCCAAAAGGGAGCCAAGAAAGGCACGATGCGGCCCAGGAGAGCCTTTTGGGCGGCTCACGCGAGAGCACCTCCGTGTTGGGCCGCAAACCCCGTCCGAATGCCATCAAAAACCGGGCCAGTTCGGGGTCGGTTGTGGCTTCGTTTGGGGGCTCATGTTGGGCCCAGCATGGTCCACCTTGACCTCGGAGCGCGGCCCAAAACGCAAGTCGCAACGTGCATTCTGAAACATACACTAGACGAGCTCGAAAGTTAGCTGTTAGAGGTGTCCGGGTGACGACTGGCGAAGCCCAGATAATCAAAACCTATGTCTTTCGCTCTATGTCTGAAGTTGCAGATCAGGCGGTCTCAAAGTCGAGCTCGTCTTGGACGCCGTCCGGAAGGGGCCTCGGGGCTCGGAAAGGAGTATTGACGTAGCCAGGCGGCGGAATGGCGGAGGCCTCTGGGGCGGAAACGGGGTGGGGGTGGGAGGGCTGAAGACCTGCAAGGAGCTTCCACACCGAAGTCCCACACGCCCATCAGCCCGGTGGGCGGGCGGAATCAATATATCGCCAATCCGCCGACCTGCGGAGGAGATGTGCGGCTTCCGATTGCTTCCCCTCGTCGTGTAGGTGTTGCTGATTCGGCGTCCCTTCCCCCCGCGTCTGTTGTCGGATGCCTCTTCGAGGTCTGCGGGGGCGGCCTCTTGGAGCCTGTTCTTCTGGGGGCTTTGCGGAGCCCCCCGGCGGCTTCTTGTGGGCTTCTTGGGCGCATGTCGGGGGTCTTGGGGGCCATCTTGTGGGGGAGGGATCCCCAGGTCCATGCCAGTTCCACCTTTTTGGGCTGCTCTTGGGACCTCCTCCTCCTCCTCCTCCTCCTCTCTTCCTCCTCCTCCTCCCCTTCCTCCTCCTCCTTCTCCTCCTCCTCCTCCTCCTCCTCCTCCGCCTCCTCCCTTTCCTCCTCCTCCCCCGTAGCCATGTTGGCTCGATCCATTTTGGCTCATGATGTCTGCTTTGCGCAAGCAGGAAATGGACACCGCTAGTCCGCGGCCAGCCCAATCGACATTCCAGCCACAATCACGGGTGAGCTGGCACCTCTTCATATCTTTCGCTCTTAGCAGCATTTTCATATTGTCTTGCGTCCCCGAGCAGTTCCTGACGATTGAGGCCCTCTCGTCGTTGAGCTCGAACCTCCTCGAATGGCACATCCGCGGGGACCCGAACGGCACGCTCTCACGGACGCCCTCTCTGATTCCGTGCCGTCGGCAGGAGATCGCAGTGTCTCACGCAGTGCTGGAGAACATCCTCCCCGTCGTCGCCCAGAGCACTTCGACAAGCCTCGGGATGAAGCGGGTGGCCGACTCCGTGACAAAGAATCTGATCGCCCGCATCACGAAGGAAAACGTGCTGCAACCGCTCGGTCTTGCAGAGCTGGAGGTGGAGCAGCTCACGTACTTGGCGGTGCCACGGGACCATTTCATGCAGCTGTTCCAGATGCCGCTTGCTCCGATCCTCTCCAGCGAGCTGATCCCTGGCAACTCCAGCGTGAAGCTCTCGCGGCCGCCATGGAGGATGGAGAACTGCTTACCTTCTCTGCATCTCAGCGAACTGAAATTGATCGTGTACGGGCTCTTACCATGGCAAACCAGCTGTCGATGTGGCTCTTGGTGCGGCACCACCGCCTCCCCCAGCGCCTGGCTCCATCGAGGCGCTCCCCGCCTCCTTGTACGACCAGCTCACCCAGCATGTGGACTCAGCCATGGACACCTTCAAGAAGGCCACTGCGCGGACGCCCACCTCCACCATTCACGAGTACCAGCGGAAAACGGACCAGCGCTTGGGTGCCACCGAGGGGGAAGTTGCTGACCTCAAGCGCAGGATCGCCGCCTCTGAAGGAGAACAAGAGCGCCATCGACAAGCCATTGACAGCATCAACCGGACACTAGCCCTTGCGGAAGCCGCCATTCTTGTAGTCAGTTTGGCCGCAGAAGCTGATCGACCACCCGACCTTGCTGTATTCTCCAGTGGATGTCAAGGACTCGTCTCGCCTCAACAACTTCGGGATGACCTTCAAAGCTGGTTCCAGGATTCTGGCGTTGACTGATCCTATGTCTTTCTCATTGGGGCTGTTCCTGCCAAGCGGCTCACCCGATGGCTTCTCGGCGACAAGCATGTGGTCGTTCCCAGAGCTACGGCGCTCGCACGTGGTCTCGAGCTACGTGGAGGAGAATGGAAATCTTTCACATGTACCTCAGTGCTGGGTCAACGTGTCCCTCTCTATGCCAGTGCCGGCCGCAGTGCCCGACAAATCCGACGTGAGATTCACACTCGACGGCTTCACAAGATCTTTGAATCTGGCTACGCCAGCTTCTCGCTCAGGCCCTACAAACATCGTGGTCGAGTCACGCCTGACTGTGTTCATATGGCTCGATTGGGGATTGGCACTACCGCAGCTATGTTCGCCAATATTGAATGGAATCGTGCACTCGCAGCTCAACGTGGCATCGACTGCCCTGCCGTGGGGAAGCGCTTCAACGACTTCTTCGACGAGGACAAGGCCGTATCTTGGGGGTAACGTTCAGTGGACTGATCACTCCAAACAGGGCCTAAAGATCAGCACGTGGAATGTTCGCAGCCTGCTCACCATTGGCCGACGACGTCGCCAAGCTAAGCTTCAACTTCTGCTTCCATATCTGCGACAGGGCTACATCGCTGCTGTGCAAGAAGGTCATGGTAATGTAGCTCGCCTTCAGCGACTCCTGCATAGTACTCCCTACTCCTACGAGACGTTCTACTCCAACAGAGGCCTGTCGAGGACGGGAGGCGTCGCGCTTCTCTGCCCTAAGCTGCCTGACATCGACGTCGCGGACCTGGATGGCCCGTCGCCTCATGTTCCTGACGCTCCTACACCATCGACTCCTGCCACAGCTTCACCTTCCTCGCCTACTTCTACCAGTCCAAGGTCTCCCTCTTCGGCCACCTCATCGGCCTCATTATCTGATCATCTTCCAGAGGAACTCGCTCGGCTGGGTCACCTGGGTCCACGCGCCCCTCCTGACCAAGGGGCGGCGCCTGCGCTGTTCGGAGGGGCGGCCATCCGTAACGGCGGGGCAGAGATCCCAGATTTTGGCCAGCCAGGATTGGGAAGCTCGCCAGAGATCCCACACCACGTCTCCGTAATCCCAGATCGCAAGATGCTCCCCCTTCGCGCCCTTGTTCCAGGACGCGTGCAAGTCCTCGAGGCCTGCCAGGGCAATGTATGAACTGATGCCCCCATGGACATCCACAACTTTGAGCTCGCGCAGGACCACCGGCGATCCGTCCAGATTGACTGGCACAAGTACAAACAGTGGGCACCGGTTGCTCCGCTATCGCGGATTGTCGTTGCCTTCGGCGGCTTCAACGTCCACGACGAGCCCGCTGTCTCCTTTCTGGACCCGCAGCTCATGACCCCCACCAGCATTGGGTGATCAGCACCATCAGTCCGCCTCGAAGAACCTCTTCGCGTCGATGACCGAGGTCTCGAGTGGCGAGCCCACGCGCTTCGACGCCCGCGCCGTGAAGGAGACCAGGACTGACCGCGTCTTCGTCAGTCCCCCTGCTCATGCTTACCCGAATCTGTCGCTAACGCTGAAAGTTGGCAAGGATTCTGCCGTACTCAGCGGTCGTCGACTCAGTGATCATGCGCTCTTGGATCTTACGATTGCGATTGCTGTTCCCAAGACGAACGACATCCAACCGATCCCCGCCATCATCTTCCAGGCCCCCCGCTGTAGGCAGAATGTCTCGCTTCTTCTAAAGCACTCGCAGCTGCAATTTACGGCGGCGGGGCGACGTTGGCTTGGCTTCAAGTACATCATGACTGAAGCAGCTCGCCTCACTCGCAACGAACTCACCACGTGCCCTGGTGCAGTGCGCTACCAATCTGCTGCTGAGGCGCGTTTGCTCACGCATCGTTCTATTTCGCGGGCCATTTGGAGACGGGATCTCCCCTGGCCCACGCTCTCATGAACGCCGCGGAGATTGGCGAGGTCTCCCTTTTCATCGCTGAAGGAAAGGTCGGCTTACTGGATGAATCTAAATTTGCAGAGGTTTCGCGACGTGCTCATCTGCGACACCTCCGGTTTCGCAACAATCAAGCGGGCGCTGCGGCACAGCGAGCTCAGCAACAAGGTCGCTCGCTGAAGATGGATAATTCAAGCAAGCCCGCATTGCAGAGGCGAAGCAGGGCCTGGCCCCCTTTGGCACGGGCACTGTCTCTGACTGAGATTCGTCTGGCGAACGAGGGAGGCGTGCTTGCGGACCCCGCAGCACGAGTGGAAGTTTTTTACAGGATCACTGGCTGCCCATCTTCTCGCACGAGCAAGTTGATGAACAGGCTCTCAAGGACTGCCTCAGACAATGTGACCCTTCCGAACATC